CCACCTCAACTGGCTCCCCTTGACGTGGAGGAGCAGCAATTCTACTCTGAGTCTCTCCTGGAAAACTGAACTTTTCACCCTATCTCTAAAGGAGAGCCCAGACACCATGCAGAGGAAACTCATCCACGGCTTTTGGTCACTACCCAAGATTCGATGCCATAGGTGAGGGCAGGAGCGTACGATACAGAGAGTTTCTCCTTTCAGCTCCCTGTTCACCACAACAGACCGATACAGAGTCTGCAAAACTGCAGAAACTGCACTGATCTGTCTATCAGTCTCACACTTCATTCTTCCCTCACTCATGAACAAAACCCCAAGACACTTGATCTTCACTTGAGGCACTTGAAATACCACCCCCAACACAAAGAGAGTAATCCACCCTTTTCTGACTGAGGACCATGGACTTAGATTAGGAGGTTTTATAGTCCTCATCCCAGATGCTTCACACTAAGCTGTGAGCCAATCCAGTAAGAGCTGGAGATCACAGCATGATGACGCCAACAGAACCACGTCATCTGCAAACAGCAGAGATGGAATCCTGAGGCCACCAAACCAGACTCTCTCCCCCCTAACTGCACTGAGAAATTCTGTCCATGTAAGTTATGAACAGAACCCGTGACAACGGGCAACCCTGGAGTCCAACTCCCACTCTGAAAGGGTCCGACATACTGCTGACAATGAACCAAACTCGAACCGCTTGTATAGGAATTGAATGGGCTGTAACAACAGACCCACAATCCCATACTTGTGTAGCACCCCCATGTCTTCTCCTAGTCTACAATACACATGTAGAGAGACAAACTCCCAAGATCCCTTGAGGTCACTATTGGGGGTAAAGACCTGGTCCAGTTTTCCATGGCCAGGACAGAACCCACAATATTCCTCCTGAATCTGAGGTTCGACCATCTGATCTCCCGCATTGAAAAGGGGAACCACTACCCCAGTGGCACTGCCACCAATGTCCATGTGATGTCGCAAAAGCGTGTCAACCAGGACAGCCTACAACATCCAGAGTCTTGAAGAAATGAGGGTGAATCTCATCCACTCCTGGAGCCCTGCCACCATGGAGCTTTTTAACCACCTCTGCAACTTCAGCTCCAGTTATGGACGGACCAATCCTGAAGTCCTCAGATTCTGCTTCCTCCATAAAAGATATACCGGTGGGAATGAGAAAGTCCAAGAAATATTCCTTCCACCTCCCGACGACATCAATGGTTGAGGTCAACAGCACTCCACCTTCACTGAGCACAGTGTTAATGAAGTGCTGCTTCCCCTGCCTCAACAGAGGGAAGCAGCAGAATCTCCTCAGAGCCAATCTAGAGTCTTTGTCCAAGGGCTCGCTAAACTCTTCTCACGTCCGAGCTTTTGCCTCGGCAACAGCAGAGCTGCAGCTCAGATGACATGACTACAAAGTCAATCATTGGTCTGTGACGTATGTTATGTTGTTGCTGTGGGGGTCAACTCGAGTGAAGAAACGAGATTTTCTGCCTCAAAGCAGGCCCTGGACAGGCCTACTGAGAGGACAGGAACTCTGTCACAAAGTGAACTCTATTTAGGCCATGGCAGGTCATTTCAACCCAGAAGAGAATTTCTCAGTTCTCTTAATCTGACAATGGACAGAACAATCTTTTCTGTTCGTGATTCATTTGTTGTTTAACTAAGAATGTTTATTCATTTGTTAAATCATGATAATGACTGTCACAAGAAAGTGGAACCACTTCTACTCTTTTATCTTGCCTAAAAGATTAATTAATGGTATAAAAATCACAGAGAAAGTCATTACAATGTTTTCATTGTGTTTTTATATAAATCACTGCTTTTATTTTACTGGGAACACAGTAATATAATTGTGGATTTTTCTTGAGAAAATCTTTCATTTATTTGGACTAACAAAAGGTTCAAAACTGATTACTAAACAGAAATGTTAATTAATCATCATAAATGTTTTGCAGTGATTTCTCTTAGAGTCTATCAGGAGAAAAGCTAAAGAAATGTTATCATATTCTGTTGAACAACCACAGAATTTAACCTTGACTGGCCCCTGGCTGGCAAGTCTTTACCTTTCTTCCTTTTTCTGACTCATCTTAATGCCTGAGGGCGGAACCAAAGTCGTCCGCTTCAATTACTAACACGGACGCCTTTGAGTGACACACACACTTCTTCCTGGATGCCAAACTTGGAAGRAAAGCTGAGTTTCTCTCCGGAGATGCCAGTTTGGCTCGTTAGGTCTTGCCCATGAGCTAATTAGGGGGATCTAACAGCCAGGACGGCGGCACGCCAGTCGGATGTCCCACCCGAGGCTCCAAGCCTCCCAAGTGTGTTTTAACTCTCGAGGGGATATTTTATTTTGAAAGAAGGCACCGGATGTACAGCTTGAATCTTTCTGGGCTTAGACTGAAACAGACGAAACGTTACCTGAAATAACACCTTTCTCGCCAAGGAACAGTGAGCGAGCCAATTAAAAAAGTTCCCTGACAGGTCGGAGGTGAGACGGTTACTACCCAGGGGTCTTTTAAGAAGCATCACCAGGTAAAACTGACGTGTTCTGAGTGACATGCCATGTGGAAACTGAGTGCAGAAGGGACGCGCTGATCCGGTTGAACCACACTTGATAAAGTAACATTAGTAATAATACTAACATTAGTTTCCTCCTTTTCTTGTCTTTATTTGCCAAAACTTAAGCTGAAAGTGCCAGTRAAATTGTTTGGTTGTAACATCAGAACTGATCGTTTCACTGTTTTATATAAGTAATCTGAGTTGTTGTGAATTAAAATTCGGATGCGAGTTTCATCTCATTTAACTCTGACACTTTTTATAGGAATACCCACAATTAAGTGTACTTATGATTTGTTCAATTTGTGTGAATAAATGATTGCTTAGTTTTTATGAATCAACTTGAACTCGTCTGAACGTTAACTTATTGTGTCACTTTTCACTTCGCACAGTCAAGATATTAAAAGTAATGAGAAATACCTTGGTAAAACTTTCCTCATAACCTTGTTTATGAGAGATTAAGGGAAAGCTTAATTCACCCTAAGCATCAACCCTACATTGCCATGTGCACTTATGGGCACCTTTATGTTGGGAAATGGTGTTTATGGTGGACTAACTAACTCAAACCAAATTTCAACAACAGAACATCACTTTGGTTCAGATCAGAGAGGCAGTTCCTCTCAGTCATGCCCCTGGCACATGGTTGTTGTTTACAACCCCAGCTGGAGCACCTTCCAGCACCCCCACTAAGGGCTCTAGAAGACTGAATACGCTGAACTCACATTCAGCACATAGGCACAAACAACCATCAGAGCCGGCCCCTTTACCCGAAGGCACAAGGAAGCCACCCTTTCATTTACTGGGAAATACTAGACTAAATCCAAGTTGAATATTTTTCCTATTGTATCACAATGAAGCTCAAATAAAGCTTAATATTTCTAAAACCATAAATGGTACAATTACTAAAAGTCCATGGTTTAATAAATGTTACTTTTTCAGGTCCCTCTGAAGAGAGTCAACAGGTGAACAGTCAGACTTCTACAATCATCCTGCTGTGTGTTACATTAGTGACTCTGCTGTTGCTGATATTTGGACTGGTTCTCTACAGGAAACACAAAGGTACAGTTCATTTTCTCCTGAAGTAAAGATGGTTAAGTAAGGATTAGTTCTATNGTTTTATAGGTAGAGTAGTTTATTTTTCCTGTAATACTTCATTATAGTTTTTTAAGACAAATCTAACTGAAGGGGGCGCTGAGCAGAGTTACATTCAGGGATTACAAATAATTAAATTTTTCTTCTGCAGTTCAGCACCCCCTCCAGCAGATGRCGCTCTAGGTGACCGCCTAGTTCACCTATGCCAAGAGCCGTCTCTGTTCTGAGGTGTAAAAAAATTTGAAGCTGTTTTTGAATAAAAAAGAGATTTTTTTCTATTTCTCAGCATTCATGCAAAATGGTGAAAATGTGAGTGAATTTACAGCCAATCATACAACGTGACATGTGTGAACATTAGATTTTCACAGTTTTATCTTGAGGTTTTTCTGAAAATGTTTTGGATGATGCAGTGACTGGTCTGAGGTTTTCAAACATGCAGGATCAGCTTTGAAACACAGCGAAGTGTCATAAATCAGCTCTGACACTTAAGATTTAGTCTTAAACTTTGCTTAAAGTGAGCCTGAGACACTTAAACATAAGTTTTAGAGAACTGYTTTACACTTCAGTCCATTATAACAAGGTTGTATTCACACATCACGTCAGTTCTTTATCCAGACTGTCTGAAGGCAGGTAGAGGAACCTGAATGTTTTTATAAACTAGTTAAGATCAACAGTTGGGACCTAAGCTCAACCCAACATGTTGTTGTCCTTAAAAACAGAAAATTGTATAAAAACGTGTTTTCACTTTGTTATTCTGGAGCTGACTACAGAAAAATAAGAGAAAAAAGATTATAAACAACTGTAGAATCAGACTTCAATAAGAGAAAATGAGAAAAAGTGAGTAAATTCTGGATATTTTATATAAAAGTTTACCTGTCTGTCTCTGACATCACCGACTGCTGTTTCAGTCTCTCTCAGTTTGTTGCAGCTCGTCTCTTTCTTTACTAATAAAGAAAGAAAACTCGTCTGTTTTTCCACAAGCTCAGTCACATCTGCCAGGTGTTTCTCCTCCACCTTTTCTCCATTGATTTCCAAAACGACATCACCCACAACAAGTCCGGCCCTGTGTGCAGAACCACCAGGATCCACCTGCAGGGCAGMGACACAACAGGACAGGTCAGTGATGGTTGACGTGTCACGTCAGTGTTTCTGGGTGGAGAACTAGGACTCAGTCGTACCTGACTAATGAAAACAGCAGGTCTCTGAGGGTCCTGGTTCAGCTTAAAGCCAAAGCCCTGCACATCTTTGTGAAGAATACAAAGCCTCGGACTGAACAAGTCTTTAYTTTCCTTTGACGACTGACCGTTAGCAGCTGCTGCTGTATTTTCATCCTGTTTCTCAGCTGCATCGTCCTCACAAAACAGGAGAGGAGAAAGACCGAGCTGCCAGAAGGGGAGAAAAGAAAGAAAAACTAAAGCTATAATATAATTTATAATTTATTATAAATAATAAAGCTATAATAGTTTCACACCAGAAGCATCATTCTTACAGAAACATGTCAGCTGCTGCAGATGCAATCATTACACAAAGAAATTCATCGATTTTTTAAT